CAGAAGACATGAGCACCCTGCCAAGGCAAGTAATGTAGGGTAAGCACAGTACCGGTATGTGTATTGTGCATTGTCTTTGATGAACTAACATTATTTATATATTATAAAGGCATCACGATTTCACAAACAGCAAACATGGCAGGTGACCTGTATGTACAGCAACAATATGATAGTAGAACTATTGCAGATAGATTCAGCCAGGTCAACTTTGTGTGACAACTGCTCAGAAGCTAATTATTTTGAATCCAACTACAATTCAAATATAATTGAACTAGCCACTGTCCGGCAAAGGCACAAGATACGTGTGTCTGGTGGAACAATGAGTGATCACTTGGTTGGCACATTCTTTACTGAACAAATAGCTGTTTTTTTTTTACCTGATATTTGTTTTCCAACTGTGAATTTTGTCTTTTCTTTTGAATGTAATGTTCTTTAAAATTATAATCAAATATTCAAATAGTTGTATTTTAAACTCTTGAAAATATACATATGGTAAATGCATGTGCTTTCAAATGCTACTTCTTTAATCTGAACCTTTGGTAAAGAAATACCAACATTTCACTGCATCAGAAGTCGAGTGGAAGTTGTTTTACTCTAGTTACATTATAAACGGTGACTGGTATATTTATGTTTAACTGTTCATAATTTTTAGATTTTGATTCATTCTACAAACCAAATTGTCCTTCGGGATTAGAATAAAAAAAAAAACTTGACTTTAAATTACTGACCACAGTAACAAACCAACCACCAGATAATTTTGTTTTATAAAGTAGTTTCTACAGTACATTTTAAAGCATGCTTTGTTAATAAATAAATTAATAAATAAAAGTCTTCAACACTGCAATATTGGAAACAAACTTAATTTGGTTTTAATTCATGGTATATATTGCTAATATTTCTTGTTCAGGACAAAGGTGAAATCTAAATCACCCTTTTGCAAGGCAACGTTACTAAAGTCGCAGACAGGTCAAAGATGATATCACGCTCCTCTTTAACCTCCAAGGTGATGTCACAGTTCAGACTTACTGCTTGTTTTCTAACCCTGTGGTCGAGATGAGTGATCTCATGATGAAGTCACCAGTTCAGTTAAGATCCCAGTCAAAGGCTGTTCCACTGACTCCCACTGACTTCAGCAAAGCTCCTCAAGAGCACAAATGCATTTCAAAGCTGAATATGCTCAGCCTAGTCTTCATCTTCATTTGTTCATTACTGTAAACAAAAAAAAAAAAAAAACCTGCTGTGTAACAACGAAATGTTAACGTTGCTGCACAGAACAAATCTGGATGTGCTTTGATTTTAAAATTGAAAAAAAAAGAAAGAAAAAAAAAAAGTCCAATATATCAAAAAACAGTATTATAGCTGATTAACATTACAGAAAAAGAGAGATACAATACAAATGGAAAATTAAAAAAATAAGAAGAGGTGACTTCTGGTAGGAGGTATAATAACATGCAGTGATTAAAATATAAAAACAACAACAATTAGACAGATCTGCATAAATACATATGCAGGAAGTCATTACACTCAATTTAACTTTCTGCATAAGTAAATATTAGTTGAATTTTTTTTTTTTTTTTTTTCCCATTCTTGTTTGAACCTTAGTGTCAAATTAAATTAATTCAGAACGTGAAAGAGTTCATTAGAAGAGTAAAACACTTGCAGGCACACGCACGCACACACTAATACACACCAATGAACTACAAAACAACTGAATAACTCACAGAAACTGAGAAATGTGCTTATTGTGCACAAGCACAAGCTTAGAAAAGTAAACACTAATGTGTGCATCTAAATGGCACTGCAGCCGAGGTGAATATAAACAGTGGAGTTTATTCAAGGTCAGAGCTGTTTGTCGGATGCAGCGTAAACACACACACACACACACACACACACACAAACAAAAAGACCCAATATTGTCTGATGCTGGCCAAAAAAATCCCTGAACCAACACACCCACACATGAGAGATACAAACACATTTTTCTAAACAAGCCGAGATATCATTTAGGAACAAATACACACATTTTGAGCAAACAGGCACACAAACAGGCAGATAACAACAATGAGGATAACACAAGCGTGTGTACAGTCAGTCATCAAACTGACACGTTTATACCTTGAAGATGTAACCAACAACTAGTGCTTACCTAACCATAACTTGTCACGACCATAAATAAAGAACGCATCATTCACGTTGTGGTAATCTGCTCTTTCGGCCCATCGTGGATGAGCAAACAGATTTATATTCCCACATCGTGAGTAATACAAGTGCACACACAAAAGCACACACACATGCATCACATACAGATAATATAGGCGTAGAAGCAGATAGAGTTAGCGTGAGGGCGTGATCTGAAGCACACCGAACTAAAATAACTCACAGGCCAAACAATAAATAAACAAACAAACAGACGCAACAACCTTGAGAAACAAAGAGAAAATAAAATAAGTTGGACGAAGCTAGATAAATGGTGGAATCAGTGGCAGGGACTCAAGTCAGTACTGGAGGTGTCCGTGTATTTATTCATTTTGTTTGTTTTCGGTTTTGTTATTTAGCTTTTTTTTTTTTTTTTGTTGTGAATTTACTGCAAAATATACGATGGCTTTAATAAACTGATAAAGGGAAAAAAAAATAAATAAAACCAATACAGAATATTGCATCATCCAACAAAGTTAAGTCAGGTCCTCTAGATGGTTTCTTTGTGCTGAAACGTTTCATCTTTCATCCAAAGGACTTCATCAGTCCCAGGAGCCACAACAAAATCAGTCCTATAAGTAGCACACTTGCATAATGGGCCAACCAGTTTGATGGCAATAAGATGGTTTCTGGAGTCCACCCTCTTCCCCCTCAACTCCTCTGAGGCAGCCACAGCCAAAGTGGTTCAAAACATCAAAGTTCATGCTCAATAATCCAGGTAAAAAATCCAACAAAGTTAAGTCAGGTCCTCTGGACTAATGAAGTATTTTGGATGAAAGACAAAATGTTTCAACATAAAGAATCCATCCAGAGGACCTGGATTAACTTTGTTGGATATTTACCTGGATTATTGAGTATGGACTTTGAAATAATGCATCATGTTCTGCCAAAATCTGAGACTATGAAAAACAGTCAGACAAGATCAGTGTTTGAGTTTCTGAAAAACACAAGAAGTGTTTTGTTGTGGAAAATGTGTCAACTCATTGTAATGGCTCCATACTTAAAGGCTGTCAATGCTTTTCACATACTGTATGATGGAAGTGTCTTTTGGTTTATACTTGGTTTTACATTGTGGAGATTATGGGCACCTTTGTGTCTTACCTGACTTCTGCAGCTCCTGAGAGGCTGGGCGGAGCCAACCCCATCACACCTGTTCCTGATCCTGTTCTGATGGACGACTGCTGTAGTTAAGCTCCTGTGGGACAGCAGTTTGTCGCTGGATCATTGAAGACCTTGGGTACTTTGTGGCAGCTCCAACTAAAGTAATTTAAGTCATTGAGTAGTGTAAACCTGTGCTTTTTCCTTGTGTCTTTGTCAAGACCTGCTCCATTGGTTTTTCCTTCTCTGTGAATGCTCACCTTCCTCGAGTCTCCTAGAGTCTGTCTAGAAACCGTTACCTCTTTAAAGTCCTCGGAACAGCCTGAGATCAATCCCACCTGGCGACACAACCTGTTCTTCTGGTTTCCGTCTTGTCCCACTTCTATGATCACTCACCTGTATTCCACTTCTCTGGAATCTCCACATTCCTCTTCAAAGCTGCTCCACATTTCAAGCTCTGCAAGACAAACTGGCAAAAGTAAATATCGAAAACTCTTGTTCCACGGATCCCCGTACTTACCTGACATCCCTTTCCTTGCAGATAATTCTTCTGTGTAAATATCTCCATTTTGCAATAAACTGAACTTACCTTTTGAATCAAGTGTTGGGTCCTCTCTGTCAGTTTGCTTATTCTGGGTTTAAAACTAGTCAGTTTGTGATACGTACAGGGATGTTTTGAATTCAGCAAATCAAAGATGATTATCCAGTGTAATGTCCTCTGATTGCCTGTTTATGCAAGTGCCTATTTTTGGTGTGAATACGTATCTGAAAAGAGCAATTAGTGATGAATGATTCAGTAAATCTATGCTCGGTTCCCACAATGACCTCGAATGCAAACCAAGCTGAATGTGGAGGTAAAAGCATTTAAATATACATGTAAACAATCTAAATGGTATTTCTCCCAGACTCGCTGATGCCTTTGTTATGAGGAAACACCGCTCAGTGTAGATTAGCAACATTAAAACAGTAGTGAGGCTATAATTACACAACTGGAGTGGTTAATGTGTTTTGTTTTGCGTTTAATATCGCTTTGAGATAAGAAGGGTAATCAGAAGGACGGCTCGGGTTAAGCAGGTTTAAACAAAGTTAGAGAGGTGAGGTTGACATGCTTTGGCACTTTTTGTCAAATGGTGCTTTTTTAGTTAAGGTGCTTTTTTTGAGACAATACCTACAAACCCTTATCAACCTACCCCTCCCAAGGAAAAAAAATGGTAGCTGGACTGCACTTATATAGGGCCTTTCTATCTTGTCAAGTGCTTTACACTACAATATGTGCCCTCACTTACTCATTCCTACAGCACTCTATTATATCTATACAAAGAATAATCAGTGCTTTCATTCATACACCAATGGGACACACATCGGAGGTGATGAGGGGTTCAGTGTCTTGCACAGGGACACTTCAACATGTGACTGCTGGTGGAGTCGACCCCCCAATTTTTTGCATTGGAGGACTGCTCTAACCACTCAGCCACAGCTGACCCAGCTGAAATAAAATAAAATCATCTTTGCTTGTATGTGTTTGAACAAACACTGTACTCACCACTAGAAGCGTAGCTAGTGTTCACCATCGGCGGGTGAACGGAGTCAGTGGCCTGACTGACCAATCCTGCCTGACCCTTCACTGGGCTCATCAGTCCTGACAGCCCAGATGAACCGTCAAAAGAGCAATTAGGTGAGCTCTCTAATTGATCCTGAAACGAAAAACAACCAATGCATCATTTAAAACTTGAAAGAACAAAAAAATAACATACACAATGATTGCGGCAGCACGGTGGCGCAACTGGTAGAGCTGCTGCCTCTCAGCGAGCAGGTCCTTGGTTCAAACCCCGGTCCAGGGGCCTTTCTGGGTGGAGTTTGCATGTTCTCTCCGTGCATGCGTGGGTTTTCTCCGGGTACTCCGGTTTCCTCCCACAGTCCAAAAACATGTATGTTAGGCTGATTGGTAACTCTAAATTGTCCCTAGGTGTGAGTGAGAGAGTGAATGGTTGTTTGTCTCGTTTGTCTCTGTGTGGCCCTGTGATGGACTTGCGACCCGTCCAGGGTGTACCCCGCCCCTCGCACAGTGATTGTTGGACATGGGCACCAGCGACCCCCGTGACCCAAAATGGAATAAGCGGGTAAAGAAAATGGATGGATGGATGGATGATTGCTGTCCAAGAAATATACTTGTTAAATGGTAATATCATCCCCAAAATTTGAAGACTAATAGCAAAAGCAAATATATTTATCGTATATCAATTTACTTACAAAACTGAAGTACCTGAACTAAAGTGAATTAAAAATGAGAGATGGAGTAGTGAGTGAGGGTTTTAGTTGAATAACCAGCAGAAATGGACATTAGCCTAACTATAAAAGTAGTCCAAAAGATTGTGGGGAGACCCTTATCCCATGCTCCATAAAATTTGAAGCATTTGCTTGATTTAAAAAAATATATAAAAAATATGCTTTATGAAGCAATGCCTTATTTTTCACTGTATGTGTGGCACCAGAATTCATAATACTTCCTCAAGGGAGAGCCCTCTGCAGGCCCCGTAAGTCTCAAACAAAGACTGGATTATAGTGCAAAAGCGTATTTTATGGAAACTTATCAATCCTTTGGGGATTAAATGTACATATATATATATATATATATATATATATATATATATATTAAGAAAGCTAATGTATGGCTTGTTAATGTGCATGAATATGTGTGATTTTCAATTTATAATACATAAATTTGTGCACCTTGGTGTTTTTGTGACACTGTATGAGATAAACTCTCTTCTCCAAGAACAAATCCATAACAGTAGAATGTGCATGTGCGTAATAAATCCTCCTCGTCATCCCACTCTTGACCTCGCGCCGAGCACCGGCGCCTAGCCCACCCGCAGCGCCTCCTGGATGCATCACTCTTCAGCGGGTAGGCATCATGTTGGCCCCCCTCCTAGCTCTCCCATTAACCCGTGTTACAGAGAAATCAGATTTCTATAAAAAGATAAATGCTCTCTCAGCCACCAAAAAAAAAAAAAAAAAAAGTTGAGTTATGAAGTCTTGGGTTTGTAACAATCAGTTTAAAACAAACAAGTCTGGATCACATTTCCATATTATTATCATTATGTATTTATTTTCGTTTTCCCGGTTGAATTTAGAAAGTAATAAAAGCAAAGTAGAACCAAAAAGTGGCAGCAAACTAGCTTTGTTTGCATGTTTTGTTGAATTGCTCGTATTCTATAGGTTTATTTGATATAATAATGTTGACTTTTTTTTTATCTTTAAAGCATAACATATTGAATAAATATAATGACAAGCAATCAAATCAAGATTAAATAATAAACATGAACATACTGATTAAGAGCAGTAATAGTGTTTCAAGCTCATTTGAAAACATAATTCTTAATTTACACAAGTTATATTTGTTTCATACTACCGTTTGGTTGATGATATGAAATGTGTAAATGTGACAAAAAGATAAAAACAGAATAAATCTGAAAATGTAAATACATTGTACATAGCACTGTAAATAAACTGCAAACAAACTGTAAGTAGCACTCTGCTACATTACTGTACTTAAAGCATGCGGATAGTTTAAGAGTTCTTTTCATCAACCTACTTTGTGTTTAATCATGTATCTGACTGTCGGTGTGCTTAAGAGCAGATGATCCAGGTTTTACATTCTGAGCTCTTTCACCAACTAACAGTTAATGCAAAAAAGCCATTCACACTTGAACCTGCCACCTGGCTTTGTAAATGCACAAAGCCTGTGCAAACAGACTGCAGAGCCCTGTAAAAGGCATCGTCTGAAAAGCAGATGAGATGAAAAGCCGTTTAAAAATAAAAAAAATTTAAAAAAAAACTCGTGAAGAAAAGAGATACAGCTGAGTCAAGAAATCTCTGCCACAAACACAAAGGAGAACTTAGAGATACAAATGTGAAGAGCTGAAGTGTAAATGTGCTTTTTGCTGCTGGTAAGAACACAGAAACGAGCAGAGAGGCTGGTGTCAGGAACGAGAGGAATGGATATGAAGGCCGAAAGGCACATGCACAGAGATACAGAGCAAATGGACTCAGAATAATAATATATTTTCTAGGATTTACACAGAGAAAATTACACACAAGCCTTCAATTCTTTTATCTAATATATACCTAATGAATCATGTACGACACTTTCATTTACTATCTAAACGCAATACATTTACTTTTTTTAACACAAAAACTGGAAACGCATCCTTTTTTTTATATATACCAAAAGGATATTTCACTTTGTTACTAAATATCTTCTACCAACTCAGGAAAACATAGAGCAACACATAAATAAAAATAAAAGAAATGTCATTTTTATTTCTGTCAGGTTTTGTTCATGCGATTGAGTTCAGCAAGTGTGCCTGAAAAAAACAAACAGCCTGAATTCACTTCATTGAGTACTTGTCTCACTTTTGGAAGACCTTCTCTGGTTTTTGACAAACTGTTGAATTATTATCCACTTATTTTTGGCTATTTGTTGCTCATGTTAAGTTGCACCTAAAGCTTCGCATCTGAGGTCATATATGTTAGAATTAAGATCTAATAATAGTTTGTGATCTTACAAAATGCGTCTCACAACTAATACAATGCGATTTTTAAGTTACAATAATGTGTGGGCTCTGTGCTGACTTGCAGCTCGATGCAATCTTTGCTACACATGGGGTTTTCTTCTAAAGCTTGCATCTCACCAGTCCATACAACATGCCTATGACAACATCTGAACATTTACCTAAATAGTTAATATAAACAATTTCCAACTTGGCAAGTATTGCTTTAAGTCTGAGTAAATGCACTGTCTGGTTTGAAAGCATTGCTTTAAGAGCTAATCCGGATCAAGTTGCTTTCCTCTGTAAATTGGTTAAGATTGAGATGGAGAATTAATTGTTAGATAATATACAGCATGATCACATAGTCAAAGATTAATTGCTAATAATATATGATCGGTTTAAGTTAGCATCAAAAATGTTCCCTTCAGTAGTCTAAAACATTATCCAGACAAACGTAAACACTGTAACAACACAAAAAGAGTTTTAGAGTTGGCAACAACACTGATAAGAAACAGAGACAGTAAATGTACCTGCAAGGTCCTCAGCACCACCAGCTGGATTGTCCCTCTGACGTTTCCTTCCTGTGACATCGATCGACGGAGCGTCTCCATGGCTGCGTGATTAGAGCGTCCCAGAAGCGACTCGCCATTTATCGCTATGAGCTGGTCATTAATGTGCAGACGCCCATCCTGGAAACAAATATTGCTGTTATTATTAAAAATACATACAACGTCAAGGTTGATTACCATCATAACCTCCAAATCAACACAAATCATGAAATTATTCTGTCAAACTACATGATTATTTACCATTCTTTCCTATTGTTTTTGCAAAGGCAACAGAGATAGTGTCTGATTGTATTTAAATCACCGTCCCTTTGCCTTTGTTTTTCTATTTTGTGTAGTCCACATGATAATGAGTAAAAGGTCAAAGGAGAGCAGTCAGAACCTCTGAAAACACAGCCCGAGTGTCCTCATAAGACCATCTGACAGTCATAGATTCATTATTATATTTGGCTTATGTTTATTACCCTCCTTAATATTCTGCTTTAGTCTTTTAGACTAAACCGTAGATTGTCTGAACTCGTGCAGAGAATGTTTCGGGTCTGAAAGCGTTGACAGATATTGTGAATGGAATCTGATTCATCAGAGTTCAACTTATCCATAGAAGTATAAACAAAATAAATTTTAAAACATTTTATCTATTGTTTTCTGTGATGGACTTGCCCAGGGTGTACCCCGCCTATTGCACAATGACTGCTGGACATGGGCACCAGTGGCACCAGTGACCCGAAAGAGAAGAAGCGGGTAAAAGATAATGGATGTTTGGATGGATTTATATATTGTTTGAGCTTTACTTTGCACCAACAAATTTATGCTTATTTGGGTACAGATGATTTGATGGCACCTTATATGCAGCCCCTCCATGTATGATGGATTTGATGAAGATTCCCAGATCCTCTCCCGTCTCTCTGGACTTGTTCCCTTTGAGGCTGATGCCGAGTCCCGCTGAGCCGGTGTCATTAAGGGGTATCTCAAACATCAGTTGTTCCTTTCCATTCTCCGAAACAACGTCAGGCACACGAGACACCTCATCCTTCTGGGAGAAAGACAAGAAGGAATAATAATGGCTCAAAGAGAGGGGTTAAAAACAGAGTGCGAATGAGCACACAGGGTTCAGCTTATTGAGCTTGAATGGTCTCCAGAAGCTAAACTAAAAGCTTTTCCATTTGAGAGAAAGCATCACAAGGTGCTTTTCAGCTAAATTTCTCAATGACTAAAAAATGGTCTGAAGAAAACGGGTCTAAAGGAAAAAGAAAAAGAGAAAGCCATTTGGGCTTTCATATACCTTTTTTTCCCCTCTTTCAGCTCTGCAATATCAATAAAAGTTGTGCATTTTGCAAAAGGTAATTGAAGAATTCAGCAGCTACAGAAAGCCTGAAGGACAAAAGAAGCTAGAGCAGAAGGGAATATAAGAGAGAGAGACTGCAAATGTGACAGAGAAACAAGAAGCAAATATGGGCTGTGACGGTAAAAAGGACCAAAAAAAGATGGTGAAAATACCAGATTATCTAAACAGAAGCATGGCGGTAATGACTAAGACTGAAAGTAAGTTTGGGGAAAAAATACTGTAACCAAAAAAAAAGCAACAAAACATAAAAGTGTGTTTGAAGCAATGGCTCAATGGGAGAGCTAACACTGCAGCAGCTCATACATATTTTGCAATTTGTAAAAAAAAAAACAATAATAATAATACATATATGATTACATGTGATTTGATTTTCATGGACTCGCTGTTTCGCGGTTTTTCAAAGTAAGATTGGACATGACACACAATTGGCTGATTGATGGATGAGCTACATGATCAGCATGGATTTTTTTTTTTAAATTTAAAATAAATTATTTAGCACCTGTTGCACTTGTGTACAGCCAACATGTGCAGGGAGAACCTTACTCCTGCAGCATGTCGATCTCTGCTATACAGTGGAGAAATGGGCGTGGCCAACAATGCTGGCAGATGGCAGAGAGCCGCCGGTGGCAGAGAGTGGAGATCATGACATGCTGCGCTCTTAGTTTTTAGATGCATTGTTATACTGTAAATAAGAATTTTTGAAAATCTGCTTCTCAACAGTTTGGTGGGTGTATATGGCTGTTCAGGTCTGGAGATTAGAAGTGTAATGGTAGCATCTATAGTCATCTTAAGTTATAAAAGGAAAATGTGTTTTGCAGTGTTTTGCTGAACTAAGCACAGTTTTCTATAAAGAGGAGAATCTCCATCATTGCTGATGGAGCTCATGATCCCAGAGTGGCACCTCTGAATTGTGTGGCAATAACAAACAGGACAGTCTTTTTAATTTTAAGCCTTAATGACAGATTTTAATTTCAAACTAATTACCAATATATATATATACTTTGAAATACAGAATGCCAAATTAGCTAAATTATTTTTGTCTTATGCATGTTTGTATTTGGGCGGCGCAGTGGCACAGTTGGTAGAGTTGTTGCCTCTCAGTTGCTGGTTCAAATCCCAGCCCGGGACCTTTCTGGGTGGAGTCTGCATGTTCTCTCCATGCATGCATGGGTTTTCTCTGGGTACTCCAGTTTCCTCCCACAGACCAAAAACATACAAGTGCTTCTTTTTCAAATCTTGACTGAAGAACAGTGAGAATATACGGGAGAAGCATTATTACTAATTGGTCGATGACTGAAACCATGCATCGTTCCTGTCTTACCATGTAATTTATCTGTGGTTACAGTTTTGTGTCAGTGTCACAGACAGTTCATGTCTGTGTGTGCTGCTGTCAATATAAATGCATGAATCTAGTCTGTGTGTGACTGTGTTTGTGTGGGTCAGCAGTGTATGGTTTAGACACCGTTTGCCCGTAGGGATTGTAGGTTTAACAGCGTTAAGCCGACACAAAGTCCTCTGCTCTGCAGAAAACTGTTTTCCCCTCTGAAGAAAAAAAAAATAAAAATCCTCCTATCCAACTGACTGTCCAAACCTGATAGGAAGCTCTTCGACCTTGGAAGGAACTTATAAACGCCCTGCAGAGAAATGTTGGCTACTTTCTGCCCATGATTACACAGAATTTATTAGTGTCTAAAGCTCTGACCAAATTACTGTTTATACTTTGGAAAAGTTTTAGATTTTCTGACACTTTGTGTTAATCCAAATCCGCTTCCTTCATTTGTTGTTTAATTGTTTTTCTTACACTCAGCACATTAGAGAAGTAATGTCAGACCAAATGTAAGGTAGAAGTTGTGAGGTGTCATTATGTATAAAGATTTAAATCAGCATATTTAACAGACTGCTCGCTTCGATCAATTTATTCGAGTAAGCCAAAATTTTGCTAACATATTATTTGTTCGGAAATGTCAAATTTTCTTGTAAAACAATAGATACAACTTGAGACACAAAGTTCATGCTCAATAATCCTGGTATAAATCCAACTATGTTCAGTCAGGTCATCTGGACGGTTTATTTTTTGCTGAGACGTTTCGTCCTTCATCCAAAGGACTTCTTCAATCTGAGGAGCCACCAAGAAACTGAATCCCACAAGCTCCACTCCCATAGTGGGGAAAAATAAAACAGTTTGCTGGTGATACGATGGCTGCCGGGGCCCGCCCTCTCCTCCATCAACTCCTATGAGGCAGCCATGCTTCCTAGCTGCCTCCTCAGACAGAAGAAGTTCTTTGGATGAAGGACGAAACATCTCGGGGGGTGGGGGGGAACAAAAAAAAAAAAAAAAGTCCAGATGACTTGACTGAACATTGTTGGATACAACTTGAGAGTTTTAATAAGTAACATACCATAATCATCACCTGGTACCAAATATGATATATGTGTTTATTTTTATAGACAGGGAAAGGACAGGGTTTAATACAGCAGTAAACGTGCAGTAAACAGTAAAAAAAAAAGCTAAAAAAAGATAAACAAACTCTTTGTTTTCATGAAGCAGTAGACAGAAACACATACAAATCAACAAATATCACTTCAATAAAAACATTCCCTTTATTCCAGCCCCATCGCTATGATAGCTGGACATTTCTGTGTAATGCCAAAAAAACTAGTGTGATGAGCCCCTGTGTGTCAATTCCATTTGCGGCTACAAAAGGTGTTTGATTCTTTGCTACATTAACTCTATCAAATCTACCCGGTGACAGAAAAAGCCGTTTGCATAGATGAACCTTCTCATGCAGGTCGTTTAACATTTAAATGGGTTGCCACAATGATGGATCAACAGGAGGACATGCTATCAAAAAGACAGCTCAGTTGGTGAGTGAGTTTTATTAAACGGAGCTAGAAACGGCGAGGGAGCGAATGATGGAAAGACACATTATGTGAAAATGAGCGAGAACACTCAACTTGGTCACCTACATCACCTCTACAGGAGAAATGAAGTGGAATGCAGAAAGAGGCATACAGAAACATCAGATGACAGTTGTCTGAGTAACATTAGAGGTCTATTAAACACATTTTTGTTAAGCTACTGAGTGGCACCAGCTTTAAGAAACATGGTCTTATAATGAGACGGCTTTGTAGATGGCCTTTCATGTAGCATGATTTTCACCGTATACGTCACTTTCCAAGTCCTGCGACTTACACAACGAAGCAACTAATATACATTTTTCTCCATATTTATAACCCAAATTGTGGCTGAGAGCAGATAATTTCATTCATTCTGACATGGAAAATATTGAACACTACCATTTTCAACCACTAGAGGGCCCTTGGCTAATATGGCAAGCCAAGTGTCTCATTAATAGGTAAAAGTGACCATTAATGAGACACTTGGCTTGCCATACCAAGTCACCTTCATCTCGCTCCGGAACTCCTGGAGCAAACGTCAAATCAGCTGCATTTTGTCGCGCCGCCCAGGTGAAACACAGCTGATTTGACCATTAAAGTGCATTTATTAAGGAAAAGTTCAACTGAGACACACCTTTATTATAATGTCGAGCAAACAAATAATTGTTTTTAAGTGTTAATCTTGTTAAATTCTTGTTATAGTCCTCCCGTGCATGCTCCCGCAGCTGCCATTTGGCAGCCAATCAATTTTTGGCACACCACCAGTCCACGTTTTCAGGTTCTCAGCGGTGATGCATAACAAACTTGACGTATTATAGATGCGACTTACATGGCGAAACAACTTATTTATGTTTTTTTCTACTTTATTAGACATATTTGGACTGATGTGACTTATACGGTGGTGCAACGTGTACGTCAGCAAGTACATTATTTAGGCTTTTGTATAGATTTGTGCAGAAAACATTTGCTGTGGGAAACGACTGCCCAAAGATCTATTTAATGTGGTTAAATAATAATGACAAATGAGCCTAAATGTGAAAATAATATCCAGTTTAAATACGCACATGACTAAGACAAAATATTCAAATATTTGGAATCTATTCAATATGACTTACCTATGTTTGGTTACTGAACTTGGCCCTTTTAAATCAAAGCTTAAGACTTTTTTTTTTAATTCCAACAGGCTTTTAGTACTTAAATATGTGGTGACATTTCTGGTTTTCCTTTTGCTATTTTGTTGTGTTTTTCTTGCTTTTAACTTATCATGTTAATTACTGTCTTTGCACTTTGGTCACCATCACTGTGGTTGTGTAAAGCGCTATAGAAATGAATGAATGAATGAATGAATGAATGAATGAATGAATGACTTTTAACTAAAACTGTTACGATGCGCAAAGGCAAAACAAAGGCTGGTTCTAAAAGCACTGCAGTGAAAAGTCGATCCCCGGAGGTGTGAAGCCAAACCTGCCTGGCGTGTGTGACCATCAGAGATCTCTGTGTGGTCAGCACTTTAAGACTCGACACTGATGTCGGATGATAAGAGGATGAAAGCCTTTGATAAACAGCACAGAGATGTGAGATGAGACAGAAATCCAGAAAAGAGAGATGTGATACCCTTCTTGACTGCTTTCCACTGGGATGATGGCAGCTCCTGCAGAGACGCCAAGCTGCCAAGGAGTGCATGTGTGTGAGTGTGTGTGTGTAAACAGGACTCTGAGTGGTGTAACAGATGGGGGATCTACTGTAGTGACTCTGTAAGGTCACATTGGTGACAATATCAGTAAAATGTGCACACACACACACACACACACACACACACAAAGAAAGAGACAACAGACTGAGAGGAAGCAGCGCATCAATGCACAGACTGGCTGCTGAAGTGATGGATGAGCTACAATCAGAGTAAAGAAACTGCTCAATAGTGTTGTTTTGTGTAGAGCATGCTCTGCCACCAGTTGCTAACTATTTACTGATTTCATGTCATTGTGTTTGAGAGGAACATCTGGCACTAAAAAGCTCCATTCCTGATAAAAACAAGAAAAAAAGAAAGAAAGAAAGAAAGACAAAAAGAAAGAACAGCAAGCAAATCACCCCCCAGCCGAGACAACATGGATGACAAAAGCCCCTTCAAAAAAATCTTAATGGACTCATTTTTATTCAGTCCCACATTTTGGAACTGTGTATGACTGTGATGTTTTTATTATTATCATTACCTCCTGTACCGTGTGTCAGAGCAATACTTTGTATTTATACTGTGTTAAAAATGAAGCAAATACTAATGAACTCAATTCTGTTGTATTTTATTTCTTTAAGTGCTACTAAAACATTTTGTTTAGTCTCTAATTTTAAAATTAACTAACAAAAAAATATATAATTCTTTATTTTTATTTATTTACCCTTTATTTATACAGGTAGTCTCAATAAGTCAGGAGAACTCATTTTCAAGAGAGACCTGTTTGGAAGCAGATGGTGGCAGTTAAGGGCCTTGCTCAAGGGTGGAGGCAGGTGTGGGTGTTTTAACTACCTGGAAAATACTTTATGAAGAAGAAACCATGAGTGGTTCTTACGTTAACTAAAATAAGAAGTAGAAGAAAACATATTTATGTCATCTGAAGGCTGAAAAAAGTTTATGGCTCAAATATTAATTTCAAATCATTTGCCAACTCAGCAGTATTTAAAGGAAAAAATAAAAACTATATACATAGTAATATGTGCGAGTAACTTTGGGAGTTTGCGATGTGTTTGTACCGGAGAGCCAAACAGCTGGATGTTCACGTGCTAAACTGTGAACTGTGTATGAATATGTCATATGTCTCCGAAGAGCAACAGAGTAAGTTTGCATGCATGTAGAGGTGATGTAATGTCTTTGTTCTACAGAGAGCACACACATTAGCAGACAACAACAGATGGTGAGCTAAAATGAGACGACGGAAGAGGGGGTGAAGATCGACAAGATCATTCCCTCATTTCCTCATCGTTCTTCTTTTGCTTCCCCCCGTAAACAGTCATGAATGCAAAGAAAGCAGAAAACTAAATAATATATATATTTTTTTAAAGTTGGAGGGGTTTTTTTTGCATTTCTGCACATATTTTTATATCAAATATTGTGTCCCGTGATAACTTGTCTAACGGTTCAAGCCAGAAATGATCCAAGTGTTCATGAACTTGCTTCATGCTTACATGGGCCAACACATGAACACTGATATGAGCAAATGAGGCAATAGTTCACCCGTGAGATACTTTATCCATGGTTTGAAGTTAAAACAATACTTTTTACAGAAAACCTGAGGAATCGTTTGGAATAACAAATGAATGAATGTTCAGTTTGCTTGCTGGGTGTGAGATACTGTGGGCTTGATAAACAGCGTGATGCTCTTGTATTCAAGTTATCATGAAGTAAAAAACTTGAAATTTGTCTCACAAAGTCATCAGAACAAATTTAATTTTCATTCATTGTTCCAGTCCAACTAATCGGGTGGATGTTAATGTGATTTTAAGTTTCCCAAGAACTGTTTAAATGTCCTGTACAATGTAATCTATGATGTGTATATTCGATCTAGACATATAAGTAGCACGACGGCTCAGTGGTTAGCACTGTTGCCTCACAACAAGAAGGTCCTGGGTTCAATCCCCTGTTGGACCTGGGGTCTTTCTGTGTGGAGTTTGCATGTTCTTCTCGTCCTTGCATGGGTTTTCTCCGGGTACTCCGGTTTCTTCCCAAAGACCAAAAACATGCACATTAGTCTACCTTCAGGCCCAGGCCTCCCTTGCAAAAGAGATCTGTGATCTCAATGGGTTTTGCCTGGTTAAATAAAGGTTAATAAAATAAAAACTATATAATATAAATTATTTGGTAACCATAGTAACATGTATAAGCACAGATATGTTTGCAAGTGGACAAAATAGTCAGCTAGTTAAAAGGTACACATTTCAATGTCACAGACTAGTAAAAAGGGGGAAAAAACATAAAAAAATAAGAAACCAAATTCCCACTTTTTTTATTCTTCTTCTTAGGTTAATGGATCCTTAGCTAAAAACATTTTTAAGGAAAAAAAAAAAAATCATAAAAGCTGCCGACCTACAGAAACAGCAAGGTGTTTGAAGAAAGTCAACAATGGCTACGTTTATGGAAGAGCCATTTGGGATGGACACAGCTGACAATTTGGATGTATTAGTAAGTATTTACGCTCAAATTTGTTGAAATATGCAGATAGAAATATAGGTAAGGCTGAAACTCGAGTCCGACCGATATATTGGCAGGGCTGATATTTTAGGCCGATATAGGCATGTGGGGACATATCAGTATTGGTGACAATTGTCCCATTATGTGCCTATATAAATACATTTTCACCCCTAAAATGCTGGTAACCAGCCGTGTGTCCTTACTTGCACAAGGTGTAATTGTACAATGTATCCAGCAGAGGGTGGATGAAGACTACTTTCAAGTCATGGCCGCTTTAACTTTCACTTTCAGCACAGCTGAAGCAGGGAGTAATACTGTTTAGCATACTTTGCCGAACAGAGCACAAGTTAAGTGTACCTGATCTGTAAAATAAAATAAAATAAATCAGCAATAATAAATTATCTTCAATCCTCCAACCTGCTTGTCATGAACTATGTGACTCTAAAGATAGCAAGCTAATGTTTAGAAAACAAACGTAGGCTATTGCCTTGTAAAACAGTGAATGATGTTTCTTTGTTTAATTTATATTTTTGTAACACATTTGATAACTTTATGGTGAATAGTGGAGGAAAAAAAATGTGAACCTATGTCAGGAAGACTGTTTCAAGACTTCCAAGTGTTAAAACAGATCTAAACGTAACTGCTTACTTAGATTATTGGGGGTGGACAAAATTCAAAAATGTTCAGCCAGCATATCGATTATTGGCATTCACCTTTCACTCCCAATATCGGTATCGAAAATGTTCATATCAGTCGGGCTCTAGTTGAAACAATAACTTAGTGATCCAGGAGAACTTTGTTAAAATGTTTGTTTGAATACTGAGCTCTATATCCTGTTCCACCTTCCCGCTCGATCCCTGATATTTATTTTTACAGTTGTCTTTCTTGATCTTTTCTTTAGCATTTTGCAGCAGACATTGTGTCATAATGTCTTCCTCAAGATTCTACTTGTGTCCAGTTCGACCATAATTGTAGATCTGCACCAACCACAGCCAGCCTATCACGTGATTCTAGCCTTAATGTGGGTTTCGGCAGATTCAGTTGCGTACCGGTGCTTTGTTTATCAGGATCGGGATCATCAGGATACGTTGTTTACTCTGAGTGTGGACCCACATTTTGAAATTTCAATACATCTAAAAAAACTCCCAGAGTAAACTCTTTCAAACGGTGTCATTTTCAAACTGTGTCATTTAATTTAGATGGTCTTTCTAAAGTTGTTTCCATTGTTTGCAATTAGTATGTTTAAAGAAAAATGGGTGAATAAATAAAACTGAAATGTAGTTGTTGCTTTTTTTTACTGTTAATATATTAGTAAAGTTGAAAAGGAACAATTATTAGAATATCAAGTGCAGTTTTTAAATAAACAATTCTCCCATATTTTTGTTTCATCATAGGCTTGAGACAGTCGTGGAGTCTAGACATGTACAAGGTAACACAAATGAACAAAGTATCCTAAATTTTAGCACATGCAGTCACTAACACCTCACTCATTTCCTGTCTACAGAAACAGACTTTCCTATGGGGCTTAGGGTCACACGCATATGTTTATACATGGTAGTCTGGCAGCCGTTGAGGAAACATCAGTCGACAGGAGCGGAAAGACACAAAGGGAAAAGACACAAAAAGCAACATAAAAGGAGAAAGATACATCAAAAGATGGAAATAAGGGTGGAAAACAGATTAACTTTATTCTACAAAATGGAAATTTAATTGTACAAGTATAAGAATGCATGAAATCCTATTGTTTCATATTTTGTGCAAGTGTAGGACAATAACCGACTTCTAAAAGTTTCAGAGAACATACGGTCAGAAAAAAGATGGCTTAAGATCAATACATGCAAAGGAAAACTAATTTGGATTGAGATGGGAACAGGTTTTTATTACAAAAATAATAAACTAGACAAAACTGTGTTAAACATTGTAGAAAAGCATCAGAAATTTTAAAAATATATAAGAATAAAGATCAAATTGATCATGCAAAATCAGAAAAAAGCAAGAAAAATAGGAATCAGTGCAATTAAAAGATGTTTATTCTGAAAATCAGTGGTTATATCTAGGCCAAAGAATGCATAAAAGGACATTTAGACAGAATGATCATTTTGGATTTGAAAATATCTTATTTACAAAGAGTTTGTTAAATGCAGTCAAAATAAAATTAATCATCTAAATCGATACATTACTGCATAGTCTGTTAAAAAACAAGGGAATGCGGATAAAGAATTGTATTTTTCTTTACTGACAAATAACATTATTGTCTAAAGAAATGTTCTGAACTGTAAGTAACCAAGTCCATCGATTACACTGAAAAGTCCAAATTTGAACCAAAGGACTGGAGCAAAAAAAAAACCACTTTCTTCTAACGGATTAATGACCCTCCAAACAACCAGAAACTCTTGCTTTGTTGACTCTTAGTTCAGTTCTTACCATTTCTCTGGGCAAGAACATGTCATCCTGCCGCAAGACCACCAGAAAGACAGTCTCTCCCTGACGAGTGCTGCGGAGCATACACACCAGCTCCTCCTGGCCCACCCCTGTGATATCCACACCATTTACCTACACAACGCAACACACTCACAAATCAAAACGCCATCATTATCTCTGCATTTGTCTTGAACAGATTTACTAGTTGTAAACAGAAGGGTTATGTTAATCATTTCTGCTAAAAGTTAGCTGCTCTGTACCTCCAATATGCGATCTCCAGACTGAAGACGTCCATCTTTAACAGCAGCTCCACGCGGCAGAATGTTTTTGACTAAAATAGGACCAGGACCATGTACTGAAGAATCCCTTGTTACTACAGTGAATCCAAGACCTTCTGAACCTGTACGAACACATAAACAAAAAACACAACTGATTACAGTAGTTTGCATCAGGCCTCTTCATTAAGCAGTTCAGGTCAGACAATGTACTTTTTTAAAATTATTTGCCATCACAAAACTGCCTAAACTCTGTCTAAATAGTGTCTCCCCTACCCATATCCAAGGGGGGCACCCCACGCTGTCAAGAGAACAGAGCGCCCTGCCTACCGACACCCCATCTGTCCAGTGGTTTATGAAATTATTTGATGACAGGCAGACATACTGTAGTTGAGTCCAACTTATTAACAGCATAACTTTAAACAAGAAATTAAACAATTTGGTAGCGCTCAGTAGGCCTGTCGCAATAAACAATAAATCAATTAATCGCATGATAAATGAAAATTATCGACCTCGTTTACATTTATCGGCTTTTTTGTTTTTCGTGTCTCTCTCTACTAGACAACTCCGGTGCTCTTCACTGGTCCCTCCCTTTCGCTTTTCTCTTTAAAATCTGTTTTAACCGTCCAAAATCGTGTTTCTGGATCGTTAAAAGCGGCTAAGCTACGAGCTAAGCTAACAAGCCGAACTTGAGAAAAAACCTCCGTCTTGTTAAAGCTCCAAAGCGCCTCCCTCCCATTTTTCTTAAAGAGACACGCTGCTCGCTCCCTCAGTATCCATCCTGCGGTTCAAACAGTCCTAACCTGCCATCCAGTGGTTGAAAAAATGTACTACATGCAAAACAAAATAAGAGAAGGTAGAAAACATTTATTCTTAAATTGCACAATAATTACTAATTACTGTCAAATTCCAAACAATATTATCGTTTATCGCAATAATTTCTGAGACAATTAATCGCCCAGCTAAATTTGTTATTGTGACAGGTCTAGCACTCAGACTATGTGTTGAGGAGCAGTCTCAGCTACTATCACACAAAATTTCCAATCACTTTGGTCAAACAAATTTTAGAAATAGACAGTTTGTGTTTTTAAGGGCACTTGGCTAGAATAGCCATCAGTTTTAGATGTACATCCAATGATTACTTTCTGAAAAACATTCATGAGTTATTCTGGAAAACAGACAAACACGCACATATGTGGACACACATCAGGTGATAATTACTACCTGTGGCTCTCAACCTCCTAGTAATATTTATATACAGCCTATGTGTAGCTGAAGTTGAACAACCCTGCATCTACCAACATAAAAATGCTTTAAACTAGTCCCAACAGCCTATTGCACTGTGCAATCATGTTCAAAGTCTGTACAGTTGTGTTGCTTTAAACTCTTTAGGGTTAGCTGCAGCTAAAATATCTGTAAATGTAAAGGATAAAAAAATAGACATCCTTGAGGTTAGAGGGTAGGCCAGAGGGCTGAAGAATAAAAACAAGGTGGGGGAAAAAAAGGATACGTGTAGAATGATTGCTAAATGAAGGATACAGAGAGTGAATGTTCTGGAAAAAAGGCGATGAAGACTAAAAAGCTAATTGTAGAAATTATGTGCACACGTTATTGTGTCCAAAGCACTCATACACATGCATGTGAGAGCACAAAAATGCCGTGCACAGACAGAGGGAGTGGTTGTGTGCTTTATAGACCTCATTAAGTCTGGTCTCTTTAGCAGTGCCAAGTCAGCAGTTTGGTCCAGTATGGATTCATATCAGCAGAAATGAGCAGATCAATAAAGACTTAATAGACCCTGAAGAGAATGGATGAGGAAGATTGAAAGAGGAAAGGGACTCAGTCAAAGAACAGCAAGGAAATAAGAACGATTCCAGATGAACTGATAAGTCACGCTCCATACAGATGAAAAGATTTAACATACTGATTTAAAATCAACCCAAAATGCCATTTGATTACCTACAAAATATTCGAAACTAACGTCCAAATAATACTGAGAAAAATTAAAACAATCAAATAATTTGCGAAAAATAAAACAAGAAATTTCCCCAAGAAAAAAAGAGTAGTCCCTCATTTATCGCAGGGGTTGAGTCCACCCCCTCAGCGATAGGTGAATAACTGCAAAGTAGGGAAACAGTAGACCAAGTTCAAGTTCAAGTAAACTTTATTGCCATTACCATCTCATGTGGTACGAGATGGAACAAAATTATGTACACAAGTAGTAGTAGTAGTTTGTTTTAGTATTTATTTACAGGTATATATTAAGGTGTTTTAAACCCTTCCCACATTCTTGCAATGCCTTTCACAATTTTCTAAACTCTAAATGCTCTAAAAGAGCACAGCATGTCATGATCTTAGCTCTCTGCCTCCGGCTGCTCTCTGCCACCTGCCAACACTCTCGGCCACGCCCACTTCTCCGTTGCAGAGCAGAGATCTGACATGCTGCACGAGCAAGCTTCTCCTGCAGCTGTGGGCTGCACACAGGTGCAGAATTGTTTAAAATAATTTATTTCAAATAAAAATTCTGCGAGATGCTTCTTCTTTGACCCTCACCTTTCTTTAAGTCAATCCGCAGCCTCCTTCCTCCTTTCTTGTTGGACACAAAGTTAGAAAGTGCAGGACTCTTTCTAAGGAGGGGACTCTCACTTTTCACCTTGGGACTCTAGTTGAAAAACACAAAAAGTTTTAATTCTAAAAGTAAATGAAATGCAAGTTTTTAGAGTTTGGAAAAATATCCAGAAGTTTGAATGTTCAGTCACTGACAAAACAAAAACAGACGTGTTGAAACAACTGTAATGTCAAAAAACAATTTCCTTTCACTTTCAATCTAATGCATCAAATAGAGTGGAAGACAAAGAAAAGTGCACTTCTGCAAATTGTTTATGAAAGTGTGTAGAGACTTCCAGCATGGCCGACAAACTTATTTTAATAAACTAAAGATAATAAGCTGTTGCTAAGAAACTGCTTCCTCTAAACCAGTTGTTTTTCAAATGCCAGCCGTGTAGCCATGGCAATGCTGACGACAGCTACATGTGTTTGTTCTGTTTTAAGACTTGGTAGTTCCAGGAGGAAAGTGGATGTGAGGTAAAAATAATGTGAGACTGTTTTCTGCTAATCTAATCTCAGAAAGTGAACAGAACCACAAGAACTGTATGAGCACTGTATGCACAAAGGCTAAAAACTTTTCATATCATAAAAAAATGTGCTGGGCATGAGAAATTTAAGTTTATGAACCTCTGGTGAGAGTTAATGTCACGTCTTCTCTAAACGCTGTGAAGTCTTGCTTTTAGAAATTCATGTTTTTTTAACTACTGACAGCATTTTGTTCTATTCGTATGAAAGCAAAACCCTATTTAGTGTGTTTTCATTAAATGTCCCAATCACATTTAAGCATCTGAACCTTTGACGTAAATGTTTTGGAACCACCTTAGTGTGATAACTAAAGTTTTGTGACTTACGGAGACGACTTCTGGATTAGGAGTTGGATTATCAGGGGGCTTAAACGTAGGTTTGGCTTTGACAGGAGGAGGTGGACCTTTGGATTTGGGGACATGAGGACTGCTGTTGGGACCAGTACCGCTGCCATGGAGTTGACCAATCAGACTCCTCTCATATATTTCCCTGTTGGGGGAGGGGAGAACTTCTAAACGAACGAGGGAGGAACGCATCGCCTGGCGAAAGATGTCCTGGGCTCTGATGACAAGGAGGACAGAGAAACACAAAAGTTTTAAATGAAAACTGGGTAAAACAAAGAAAAGTGAATTCTGCATTCTACGTATGGGAATCAATACCAAGTAACACATATCATTTAATTATTCACAAAATTATTCAAAGTGTAGTTTTCAATTTCTGACAAGAAAATCTATTATTTCTTGGGAGGGAAAATAACTCAGTAGGGAGATAAATAGACATACATTATACATGTGATTACAAATTACTCATTTTACAAATATGCCACTTACCGAATTTCACGGACTATAAGTCACACTTTTTTTCAAAGTTTGGCCAGTCCTGTGACTTAAAGTCCAAAGCGACTTATTTACATTTTATTCCATAGTCATGACATAATTTTTGACTGACGTGTTAAATGTTCAATCATACGGACATGAACCAAAGAATAAACATTACCATTTGCAGCTGCGAGAGGGCCCTCTAGGCTTTTGTGTTGTTCTTCTACTGTTAACCCCCCACCCCCAACATTCACTTAAAGACAACTGAGAAAAACTTAACACAAGTAAAATGCCAGTGATGTGGACTGAGACTGGTGAATTTACCGGTAACTTGCTTGTCAGACTTGTTGGCTTGTTCTGTTAATTAAGCCTGTTCAGGATCCCTGGTATGTTCTGTGTGTTATTGTTATTTCAGATTAAATATCTGTTCTTGCACTTTGTGAAATACACTTCTAAATAAATGTGACTTATACTCCGAAGCAACTTATAAATTGTGTTTTCCTCTTCATGAGGCATTTTTGACTGATGCGACCTATTCTCCGAAGCGACTTATAGTCCAGAAAGTATGGTAATTAATAAATAAATTAGGAAGAAGCTGATTTCCCAAAACTGCAAGACACTACAATATCATTTGCTGTTCCATTACAGTACTGAAAAGTGCTGATTTACTGGAAAAACTGCAAGCGACTTGTCTTTTGAATTTTAAGTGCACAACTATATTTTGGTTTGTATTATTTAATTTATGTCCCGATTGGCAATAGTTATTTATCATGGCTTACTGTTTCCGTCTTCATCTCCACTGAGCTCAAGACAAGAGAGGACAGGAAACAAAAGAGCCGTAACACCTGCACACAAGGACATTATAAATCTATAAAAAGATAATTTTGTGGAGAATTAGTGTATATCAGATCATGCTAAGTCAGTTAGAGGGTCCACTGTGTCAACAGAGATTGGTAATCACCATCATTCACCTCTGATAACAGATAGAGCAAATCTAGTTTATTAAACTTTCATTTGATTTCACTCTGATTGTTTTCCGCCTAGATGATGACAGCATTTATGATGATTAGAACTGGACTATGTTTAGAAAGTACTTTTGATTTTAATATATTAAATATGAAACAATAATGCTTTAAGCTTGGACAAACAATTTGACATTAGCTATTGCTTGCATACACACACTACAGACTCGGTAGATAAAGTAAAAAAGCCATATTTTTTCCAGTTTGCACAGGATAATTTGGTGTTATTATGAATGATACAGTAAACACAGCCAGGAGTTGGATTGTTGTATGAGTGGATAGTTGGTCATCTTTTTATTTTATTTTTCCTCAGACAGCATTAAATTCAAAACCCATACAACATAAAGAACAGTCGATAAGTGTTTGTCACACATTTTCTAAACAAAAGCACTTAATGTGACATATTGTATTAAGTGCACAATACAGAACATTCAAACTAGACATGAGAGCCGTGTGTCTTCAAAATGTATTCAGAAGTTATTGTGCACAGATATCCCTGTCCCTGATTGAAAAACGTGCGCTGTATCGTTTGTGCAAAAACAAACATTCAAATCAAGCAGGCATCCTTAAAACAGCTGTCTGGCAGGGACATTGGCACAGTGTGTGTGCTTTTATGTGTTCACCATACATTCACAGGTATCAGTGGACTTCCTGTGCCCTACTTATGCAAATTTCCCATGACCGTGCTACAGTTGTAATGCATGTGCCAAGACAAAACAATACTGGCAATATTCTGTTTATTCATCAATATTAAAAGATGGTTTAAATCTTGAGCAAAACAACAGTCTGTATTTTTATACCTGGATGTGTTTTTATTTCATTTTTTTAGTGCATGCATGTGTGTTAACTGCCACCTTTGAGTGAATGCGCACAGGACTGTACGCTTGTTTCTGAACAATAGGTACAAATCCCTCTCCAATGATAATCCATTTACCTACACCACAGCATAAAATACCTCATACACAATCTCATTACCCCCTTTTATATTAAACAAGAATTAATGTTGTGACTTTCAGGTCACTGTGATGTGTTGTAATCATTATACTATTAGTACTTGTAAGCTGTTGTTTTACAGTTGTTGTTTCTGTGCTCTTTATTCCCATTAGAACCAAAACTATGTCACTTTAATGCACTTCCCTGCAGGTGCTTTGGGGGCATATTGAATAAGGTAAGACGCATGTAATCTAAAATGGATCCACCCAGTTTCCCTGGAACAAATGGGATGGAAAAGATGGCACACAAAAGCCAAATTTCCTAAAAACCAGAGTTAGTTTAGATGCCCCCTCCTTGACCCCACCTTCTTTATGACCAGGGGTTAAACAAAGTTAAGGATGAGAAATTGTACCCATTAAAAAGCCCCAACATGTAAGTATTGCTTTTGATACCCTTATAACTGGAGCACACTGGAGGGTGTGCTCTAGTTATAGGAGCATGACTCCCCTTAGCCTCCCTGGTAAGGTCTATTCAGGGATACTGGAGAAGCGAGTTCAATAGCTGGTTGAACATCAGATCCAGGAGGAACAATGCAGGTTCCGTCCTGGCCGTGGAATACTGGATCAGCTCTTTACCCTCACTAGGGTCCTCGAGGGGTCAAGGGAGTTTGCCCATCCAGTCTACAAATGTTTTGTGAAATGGAGAAGGCATTTGATCGTGTTCCTTGGTGTACACTGTGGGGGGGGGGGGGGGGGGGCTCCATGAGTATGGGATTGGGGGCCCATTGTTACGGGCTGTTCAGCCCCTAGACAAGCGGTGCGAGAGTTTGGTTTGCAATGCCAGTAGTGAGTCGGACCCCTTCAGGGTGGGCGTTAGACTCCGGCGGGGATGCCCATTGTTACCGAATCTGTTCATAACTTTTATGGACAGATTTTCTCGGTGCAGCCAGGGGTCGGAGAGTTTCCGGTTCGGTGGCCACATGATTCCATCTCTGTTCTTTGCAAATGATGTGGTCCTGTTGGCATCATCGTGTCGTGATCTTCAGCTCTCACTTGAGCGGTTCACAGCTGAGTGTGAAGCGACTGGGATGAGAATCAGCACCTCCAAATCTGAAGGCATGGTCCTGAACCAGAAAAGGGTGGATTGCTCTCTTCAGGTTGAGGGTGAGGTTCTGCCTCAAGTGGAGGAGTTCAAGTATCTTGGGGTTTTGTTCATGTATGAGGGAAGAATGGAGCATAAGACTGACAGACAGATTGGTGCAGTGGCTGCATTATTGCAGACTCTGTACCGGTCTGTTGTGGTGATGGGAGAGCTGAGCTGTAAGGCAAAGCTCTCCGTTTATCAGTCGGATTATGTTCCTACCCTCCCCTATGGTCACGAGCTCTGGGTAGTGACTGAAAAATTTGATTGCAGATACAGGCAGTTGAAATGAGTTTACTCCACAGGGTAGTTGGACTCTCCCTTAGAGAGTGAGAAGTTCAGTTATCCTGGAGAGACTCATAGTAGAACCGCTACTCCTCCACATCGAGAGAAGCCAGTTGGGGTGGTTCGGGCATCTGGTAAGGATGCTCCCTGGACGACTCCCTAGGGAGGTGCTTCGGGCATGACCGACTGGGAGGAGACCCCGAGGAAGACCCAGGACACGCTGGAGAGAATGTCTCTTGGTTGGCCTGGGAACACCTTGGAGTCCTCCCAGAAGAGCTGGAAGAGGTGGCTATGAAAAGAGATGGCTGGACCTCCCTGCTCAAGCTGTTGTCCCCACGACCCAACTTCGGAATAAATGGATGGATGGATGGATGGATGGATGGATGGATGGATGGATGGATG